GTACAAGAAGGAGAGGGAAGTGTACGTGACTGAGCTGGGAAAAATAGATGGGACGTACAGGGAGATGTTTGAGGCATGGAATAGAGAGGAAAGGACGGAAGCTGTACTGGGGCATAGGAGGTGGGTTGAAAAGGCGGGAAGGGATATCGTTAGGATAGACAGACTAAGGAAGACATTTTTGAGCCACCTTTGGCAAAGTAGAAAGGAACGATTGGCCATCGGTGATCGGTCCTGTGGGGACAGTGCTCCGTCCTCTCGAGGACACGTGGTCAATGGTCCGACCGCTAAGGCATGCAAAACATAAGAGTACGCCCCGCCCTCCCCCCCTTGCCTCGTTCCGCCGCCTGAGACAGTACTTACGCGAAGATCTCGCAAAGCACGGGCTAGCGGTAGCAGGTGGCGTAGTTCCAAATCGCAAAGCTCAGGGAGCGGCTCCAACAGCGGCTGCGGCGGCAACAGCAGCGCCGCCACCCTACCAGCGGCACTCATATAAAGCTCCGTCCACGACCGAGACTAGCCTTGCCGGCGGCGCCGTCGCGAGCAGCAACAGCAGCAGCGCCACAGCAGCAGGAGCAGCAGCAGCGGCTTCGTCCGGACCGAGGCCCCGGGGTTGCCTCGCGTCGCTCGGGCAGGTAGACGGCAGGGTCGCTTCCGCCGCCGCCGACAGCACCACCGCCGCAGGGCCGTTGCCGAACCCTCCGTCACAGCAGCAGCAGCGAGACCAGACCGTGGGGAGTGCGGATAGGCCTACTCCCGGAAAGCTCAGCGCTAGCCGGTTCGGCAGCTTCCGCAACAGCAACGCCGACAGCAGTGGCGCTGTGGCTGGATCGTCTAGCTCGGCGCTCCCAACGCCGCCTCCTCCGGCACCAGCGGACGTCGAGGTTCCGCCCGGCAACGTCGATAGCAGCGGGAAGGGGTCAGCAAGCAGCAGTAGCGCTCAAGGAGACGCCTCGCAGGCACCCTCAGCGGCGGCGAGCTCTATTTCCTCGAGGCGCTGTACCGTAGAATCTTCGTCAGCCCCTGCTCCCTACACCCGGGAAGAACAGGGACAGGAACAAAAGTCAGCGGGGGGATCGGCGTCGACCTCCGTGCAAGGGTTGACGAGCAGGCTGGGAAGCGCGGGGCTCGGTCCGAGTGCGGGCGGCGGCGGTAAGCGGACCACCAGCGGGAGGATCGCGGAGCTGACTCGCAAGTTCGAGAAGTGAAGCGGCGCTAGCCAGGCTGGGGGCAAGAGGCAAACGAGAGAAGCGAGAGGAGGATTTTTTTTTTCACAAGGATATTGCATTAAAGGAAGAGAGGGATGGCGAGAGATATGGAGGCCGCGACCGCGCCGGAGTTGGTCCAAGAGGGACTGGACGGCGGCACGAGTGGCGTGCTCAACCCGGTTTCCGACTCCTCAACCTTCCCTAACGAGGTGAGCAGCATCGTCGATTGGGTCAGGGCCGTTACCGCAGCAGCTTGACGCAAACCATGCAGTAGGATGCATAGGGATGAGTGTGTGGGGTGGTTGGCAGGGCCTGTTTGTTTTCCGTTTTTTTCACAGTCGTCTCCCGCGGAATGGTATGGGACGGAGGGGTGGCGGACGATATTCGTTTGTCGAGCCATCGCGGGACTGGCAACGGGAGTCTGTCGGTGCTGTTACCGGCACCTCGAAGCTTTTCTTTTTCGGAATCCATCTCTTGTGGCTTGACAAAGGTCCAAGACGCCCAACGCTTGAATTATTTATTATTCCCCTCCGCCATCTGGCAGTTTTTCTTGTCCGCTCTCTCCTTCTCGCCCGGCACACTCGAATGTCACCCCTGGGAAACAACGCAAGACCCCTCGTAACTGGACATCATGTCAAGGACAACTACTGTATGGGCCGCAGTGGAGGTTATTCGAGAACAGCAATTGACCGTCGCCCCTCGCCCCCCTTGCCTACTCCCGAATCCACACCTTCTCCCTCCAGGAAATGGGAGCTTTGGCGTCAAGCGCAGGAGGGCTTGACTCGGCCGCGGGATCTTTGGCGCAAATCGTGGTTGAGGAAGGTGGCGTTAGAGCCGCCTCTGTCCCCGAGGATGTGGAGTATCCTACGGAAGAGACCGCGCCGGCAGCGGCAGGAACAGCAGATGCGGTGCTAGCGGAAGAAGCACCGGCGGCTGCGGCCGCAGTGGTGCCGGAACCGGCGACCGCGGCGTCGAACACGGTGTCCGGCGACGGAGAGAAGGCAGGCAGTTGGATGTCCGGGCTTGCGTCCAGCATGGGGTTCGGGGATGGCGCCAGCGCCGACAAGAGCAGCGCCGCCGACGCCGCCGCCGTCGCCGGGGAGGAGGCGGAGGCGGAGGCGGAGGAAGAGGAAGAGGATGAAGATGAGGATGAGGATGAAGATGAAGATGAGGAATCAGTCGAGGTCCTCGAGGTCGCCGTTGAACCGTCGGCGGCGGCGGACCGCGACGGTACGGCGGTGGTGGCGGGGGCGGCGGCGCCTGTGGTGGGGGCGGCGGCGCCTGTGGCGGGGGCGGCGGCGCCTGTGGCGGCGGCGCCAGTGCCGGCGATGAGCCCCGGCCTCGCGGACAAAAGGAAGGCGAGCATTGCCGCGGAGATGAAGTCGTTTTTGGAGGACTCGGACGAGGAAGCCGCGGAGGCGACGGCAGCGACCGCGCCGGTTACGGAGGATGCGCAAGCGGCGGAAGCCCCTGGGGCTGCGGAGAGGGAGACGGACGGCGGGGCGGGAGAAGTAAGCGAGCAGGAGAGAGAGGAAGGGGTCGCAATGGCGGCGGCGGAGGAGGAGGAGGAGGGACAGGTGGCGGAAGAAGCGGTAGCGTTGGCAGATGGCGCGAGCAAGGCCTCCGACGCGTCGGTGAGATGGAGTTCGCGTGTCTCTCTCATCACTTGAATGTTTGCCTTTACAGTATGTTTTGGGCCGCGGCCGAGCAGGTGATGGGGGCTGTTTGCCATGTTCCCCCGAGTCCCTGATGTGGATGCCGAGTGCCAGTTGTCATTGCTTGAGCCAAGTAGGCGCGTCGCCCGCCTTGGGATCGGTAGCAGGCAGTTGTATGGAGGACACCTGGAGCGGCGATTGGCCCCACGTCCTGCTCTGGCGTGTACCGTTTGTGTGGCGGGGCGGGAGAGGCGGAAGTGCTCGTGTGGAGGAGGAGCCAGCCCAGTGGGAAAGGCATGCGCAAGTTGCCGACTTTCTGGGAGTACCGAACGAAACCACCGGTGCCTTGTGTGCTGTTGGGCCGTTTTGTGACCGGTCGTATCAAGAAGCAACGGCGCGTCTCGCTTAGCGTTCGATCCCATGTGCGGTCGTTCCTCCGTCTTCTCTCCAGCATCACCATCCCTCAACCGTTCTTCAACCCCCCCTCCCCCCGCCTGCCCGCCCTCCTCTCCTGTGCACTACTCCCGGCGACCTTGCTTATTGTGGCGACGGTAACTTTGTGTCCAGGGGGCCGTTGACGGTGAAGCCTCTTCTTCTGGCGACATGAAGCCCCCTGCCATTGCTGAGCGTGACACCGGTGAGAGCCGTGTTGTTGTTTGGGGTCTGTTGGATTGAAGGCAGATCTTTTTTCCTGCTGAACTTGGGGGCAAGGTGTGACAAAATAGTTCTTTACAGCTCGTTTCGGACCTTGTCTGGTGCTAGCTCGAGCTCGTTTTTTTGTAGAATAGTTCTGCTGACTTATTCGAGTAAGAGATGACGTGTCCGGGGCGGTTGTGAATACGTGTACGTGGCTTGGTCGCCTGGCCATGCTTGAATGGCGGAGCACCTCACGCCAATGGCAGCAACGGCAGCAAGGGCGACAGGCACCTTCGAGTCTAGTGTTGGAAAGTCACGTGTCGCCGGACTGGCTTGCTGCGCTCACTTTGTTCGTTCGCACGGCAGAGTTTTCGGCGGGCCATGCGAAGAGGGTGATCGAGTCTGGAGTCGTGCTGGAGAGGAAGGCCTCCATCACCGGTGTGGTGCCCGAGCTCAAGAACAAGGTTAGTCTCCTGTCGCTGCATGGTAAACAGATGGTTGTAAGAAGGAATCAAGTTTTGAGAAAGAGAGAGAGAGCGAGAGATGCGCGTTTTCCTTTCGATGAGAGCCCTCGAATTCGGAGCACCGAGGCACGGCGTCACCTGTCGCTCTATTCTTTATTTCCTGAAAACGACCACAGCATCACTGTTCGTTCTTTTGGTCTCCATCCGGCATGATCCTTTCTAGTTCCTCTACAACGAAACACCGCGTTGGTTTGGTGCCTGCCTCCTTGCCCTGTGTCTGTTACCCTTTACTTACTCCCTCTTTTTCCTTTTCAGTCCCAGTTTTCCGCCGAGGATGCGGCGGCGACGATCTCGTCTGGGGCCATCTCGGAGCGGACGCGTAAGCTCAAGGAGGAGCAGGAGGCACTGCGGCAGAAGCACGCCACGGAGAGGCAGGACACCGACCTTCCCCTCATCTCTGCCGAGATGTCTCGACAGGTAGAGTAGAGTGGATGGGAGGATCCCGTCCTGGTGTCGCCTGGTGTTATTGGTAGCGCTGGGATCGCGGTGGTTTTATGACCCGTCTGTGGGTTAACAAGGCAACGGCATGTCTGTGGGATAACAACGATCGGCACAGTTGTCTGAAGCGTGACACTACCCCCCTACCTTGTTGATTTCAAGCCGTCTGGATACCTTCGTGCCAGACACTCCAGTCTCTCAACCACACACACACACACCCCCCTCGGTGGTGTTTGCCATCGGGGTTGGGTTTTCGTCGCTTGGCAACGACGTTGTGAAACAAGCCAATTCACTTCGTGAACTCGGCAACCAGGTTACCGTTTTTTTTTTACCTCCGGTTTTTTTTTTGGCGGTAACCATAGTGGTGGTCGAGTAGATCATGTTGTGCGGGGTGGAGAACCCTCACTCCGTGTAAGGGGGATGATAGCACCACGTTGTGTTAAAATGGTCAAGCACCCTCGAGGCAGTTACACAGTGCTTACAACTGTCTCTGGAAGTGAGAGCACCAGAAAATAGATTAATTCATACGCAGCTGTCATCCGTACGCAAGGAAGTAAGCACAAGATGCCGAACACCCTTAGCAGGATGCAGCGCACCCTTCATGCGACTCGCCGAATATCTCACGGCGCTTCGCGCTTGGTGATGTGAGAGCCTGGTCCGGTGAGAACCCGGCGTGCTCCGTCCCGGCTTTGTAGGGATGCGAGGTCAATGGTCTAACGACTACGGCATGCACGACTATGAGTACACCCCCCCCCTCCGTTGCCCTGCCTGGCCTCCTTATCGTCGTCCGTTTTTCACACGCGCACATGCGTGCTCTCCATTGTATGTCGGCTTCCGTTGTGTCGTATATGTCGTCCTTTCGTGCGTTTCAGCAATCGGTCAAGGGCAGGGCTCAGATGCACCAGCAGGCCATTGCCGCGATCGAAGGAGGCGACAGAGGGACTGGCAAGGCCGGTTCGGGCAGAGGTGAACACTAGTAGGAAAAAAACTGTTGCCCCAAGAGGTGAAATACCTCTGTGCTTGCCCGTGCGGGCCTTTTACCTAGTCCTGCTTCGGGGTGTGGGAGGCGCATGTGATGTGCACGCAATATGGAGGTCTACGCCGGTTCTTGTTTGTCTTGAAACAATTTCATGCTGTTGCTGAGATTGTGGCATGTCTTGCCAGTTCTTACCAGTTTCGTGCCGTTGGTGTTGTAGTCTCGTGGGCACTCGTGCTGTATGCAATGCTGCTGCTGCTGCTGCTGCGGCGGCGGCTGCTGCTGCTGCCGCCAAGGTATGTAGCCGTTCGCGGAAGTGTATCGCCCGAAAACATTTAGCGTATTTCGACAAGATTTTGCCCGCCGACAGCCAACCACACCACGCTTTCCATCCGCCGCTGCTCCGATCCTCCACTACACCTCTATGTGGCGGCGCAGGGCGACTGGGCACAGACTGGACGCAGCGGCGCGAGACCCTTGAGAAGTTCGTCGTTAAGTACGACAAGCCCGAAAACGCATCCACCGCCGGGACTCCGTCTACCGGCGAAGGACCCACCAGGTACTGCATCTACGTACGTCGTAGATTCGCCGCCGGACCGTTGGAGAACAGCGGTCACGCGCGTGTAGGGTTAGGGTACACGTGCAACGTCCACGTTGGTAGATATCTTGTGGTTTCATACGCTGCATGTTTTCTTTTCTTCGAGGTGTGCGTCAGTTAGTTTGTGCCTGGGTGGTTTCGAGAGGGAGGCAGGGCAGAGGATGAATGCGTTGCATGATTGATTCACTGCGGCGTTCAAGATGTGTCGAAGGTAGCTATCGATGGTGCCCCCCTGA